ATTCTTAGGCACTCTATACAAACACACAACCTCATGGATATAAATCTTAGCCAACTTCTCCAAAGAATCATTGATCTTGATGGCTAAAAAGTAAGCTGACTTCATCAATCGGTCTACAATCACCCAAATAGCATCGTGCCCCGACTAAGTTCTTGGAAATCCAAAGATGAAATCCATGAAAATGCTATCCCATTTCTACTTAGGTATTTTTAGTGGCTATAATTTTCTAGCTAGCCTCTGATGCTCAATTTTCAGCTTCTGACAGGTCAAGCATCGTGCTACAAACTCAATTACATCTCTTGTCATTCTTAGCCACTACTAATAAAACTTAACGTCCTGATACATCTTCATAGCTATTGGGTGGATAGTGTATTTACTATAGTGTGTTTCATTCAAAATCACCCTTCTCAAATCTTCATCACCAGGCACATAAATTCTACCCTGATATATCACAAATCTGTCATCATTAAAGGTGAAATCCTTAGTCAGATTTGACTCAACCTCTTCTCAAATCTTAAGAAAATACTCATCTTCTAGTTGCGTCATTCTCAACACTCTCCAAAAATCACTACTAGTTATAGTAGTATAGGCACCAACTAAAGCTTTCAATGGTGCATCTTAAGGAGAATTAATGAAAGACTCCATCAGATTGTGTTCTCGGACCGTCAAACTAACTATATGTAGCATCTTCCTGCTCAACACATCAGCTACCATATTAGCTTTCCCCGAATAGTATTTCAACTCAAAGTTATAGTCTTTAAGAAATTCCATCCATCTTCTCTGCTTCATATTTAATTCCTTCTGATCCATCAATATTTTAAACTCTTGTGGTCACTGAACACACTAAACACTAAAACATATAGGTGATGATGCCAAATCTTTAGTGCAAAAACCACTACTATCAATTTAGGTCATGCTCTTCATGTGGCTTGAGTTGTCTTGATGCATATGCCACTACTCGTCCATCTTACATTAGTACATAACCCAAACTTCTTATACAAGTATTTGTGTACACTTCATATGGTAGTCTTGAATTCAAGATTATTAATACAGGTGCAGTAGTCAATTTCTCTTTCAACTTTTGAAATGAAATCTCACACATGTCATCCCAAACAAAAGATTGATCTTTCCAAGTTAACTTTGTCAATGGAGAAGCAATATGAGAGAAACCTCAAATAAACCTTTCGTAATATCCAGCTAATCCTACAAAACTCTAAAGCTCCATAACTGAACTAGGTTACTCCCATTCAACATAGCATCCACTTTATATGGATCAATAAAAATCCTGTCTGCTGACAACACATGGCCTAAGAATCTGACTTCCCTTAACCAAAACTCATACTTACTAAGCTTGGCATACAACTTGTTCTCCTTAAGAGTTTGGAGGATAATTCAAAGATGCTTGGCATGCTGTTCCTCATTTTTAAATAAACCAAAGTGTCATCAATGAAAGCTATAACAAACTGGTCTAAATATGGTCTAAAGATACGGTTCATGTAATTCATGAAAACTGCAAGCGTATTGGTCAGACCAAATGATATGATAAGGAACTCATAATGCCCATAACGTATACGAAAGGCTGTCTTAGGTATATCTTTCTCATAAACCTTCAACTGATGATACCCTAACCTCAAGTCAATCTTGAAAAAGACTAATACTCCAGCTAACTGATCTAACATATCATCAATTCTGGCTAAAGGGTACTTATTCTTCATTATCACCTTGTTTAATTACCGATAGTCAATGCACAGTCGTAAATTGGCATCTCTCTTTCTCACAAACAACACCAGCGAACCCTAAGGTAACATACTCGGCCTGATAAATCCTTTGTCAAGCAATTCTTCAATTTGCTTTTTTAACTCATTCAATTCTGATGGTGACATCTGATAAGGGGCTTTAGAAAATGGTTCTCTACCAAGAACTAAATCTATTGAGAATTCAACTTCTCTCTCCGAAGGTAATCCAGACATCTCAAAAAAATCACTTACCACTCTAATCTTCTTAATACCCTCATCATATACACTACTAGCTGCATAAATTACTATGTAGGAATCACACCCTTACCTGATCAGCTTCGCAGCTTACATAACTAATAAAAATCTAGGTTGCTCAGTAGAACTAGTTCTTACCAACAACACTAGTAAAGATATTAGCTTCTTGGCACAGTCTAGCATAGCATTATTAGCTGCTAGCCAATCCATGCCAACTATCACATCAATCCTTTTCATGGGAATGCAAATCAGATCGATCACAGATACTCAATCCTCAAATACAATTTTAACTTTTTGACATGCTTTGCTAGTAATACTTGAGGATCCAGAAGGCGTAGCCACTTTAATTAATACAGGTAACTCTTTTAGCTCTAACTTTAGCTTATCTACACATTCTTCTAAATGAAGGAATGTGTGTTTTTAGAATAAAACAAAGCTTCTATTCTATTACCACAGACAGAAATAATATCTTTAATAAGGTTCAGTGACGTTCTAGCCTTTTCTTGAATCATAGCAAATACTCATCCCGAAACTGTAGCTCGGAGAAATACTTGGCAATATGGCCTGGCTTCCTATACTTAAAACAGGACTAACATCTTCCCACATGGAATCTACCATAACTACTGTACTAGGGTGACCTTCTAGTGCTAAAGGCAGGAGCTGGTGTGTCAAGGCTTTCCTTAAAAGTTATGGAGGCCTAATTCTAACCCCAGTATTCCTCTGTATAGATGCTCTCTGAACTAATTGGATATGAGAAACCCTACTAAAACTCCTCTTCCTAAAAGCTCCAGAATTGCTCGAGCTAATACATGGACTTCTTCGATACACTGCCCAACTGACCTGGAGAAGGTGTAAATCTTCCCATACTATCCCTCTTCTTCTCAGCCTCTACTTCTTTGCCTCTCTTTGCAGCTATTCTCAGCTTATGACACATATCCTCATAAGTGATGATGTTAAACAGAGCAATTTGCAGCCTGTACTTTGGATGCATCTTTTCTAGAAACCATTCTGCCTTCCACTTGGTGTCATTGTGGTGTTGTAGATATGTGGAGTAGGCCGACAAGTCATTGAACTTTTTTATGAATTCCTCTTCATCCAAATCCTCTTGTCTGAATACGTGGAACTCTTCCCGTTCTTGGTATGAAAAGATGCTGGGAAGTAATAATCGAAAATACCTTCTTGAATTCTTCCCATGTATATCTCACACCACCAGACGGTCTCACTAAATCCCATCATCTTTTAGCTGCTCTGACCAACTGAACTATGGCTAAAGTCACTCTTTGCTACTCCAACAATTGATATGGAAAGATATATCTTGTGGGGTGAAATATACTTTGGGAGCTTATATCAATATCCCTAACAAGATCTTTTTGAAGACTGGAACTAATATATGTTTAACTTATACGGGTAAGTATTCATCAAACTAATAAACAAATGCAATTTCTCCCAATTCACTCATTTTTTTAAGGGAGAAAGAAAAGGGGAGGGGGGAGGAAAGAAATCAGAGACTGAAATTGAAGAACAGATGCAAGAGAGACAATTTTCCTCTTCACGTGCCAGGACAATGAAACTATAAACATCTAGCTAACGAAATTCTGGAAATCTCCTCAATGGGAGAATAAAAAATTCACGCATTCTCTAACATACTTTGTGTAAGTATTATTTAAGGACTTCGTCCTTTAACAAATACATAACCTTCAAATACCATGCTCATTCTTTCATTATTATTTTTGTTTTATTCTGACATAAAAAACTCCCTGCATTGCCGAGATTATTAAAATAAATATACACAACTCAAAAGATAAAGCAAAGCAAACTGAAACTGTAAAATTACAATAACTTCAGATGTTTCAAATTTAGTGAGTCATTTTTTCGTAAAAAGGTAGTTAAGTCTCTTTTTGGGTGAAAAAAGGTAGTTAAATCTTAGTTGTCAAAATTTAATCTATTTCGAACAGCCTAACAAGATAAGGGGAGAGGGTGGGGTGGCATGAGGTGTCGATTCAAGCACAGTATCTGCAGGTATGATCTTTTTCTCTTTCTCTTTCTCAATTTTATTATTCAATATTTAATCTTGGGGTAACACTGAGGACTCGCTTGTCGGCTTGGAACTGAATAAAGGCCAGTTAGGCAAGGATTCGTGAGCTTCTGTATCAGATATTTCTAAAAATAAGGGTTCACTTGCTGTGTGCTTGAAGCTTAATTTTAGGGAATCTTCTCAATTAGAGTTTCGCTTTGGAAAGACGGGTGTTGATCTCCAATCAACCCAAGGTCAGTTTGTTGGTTCTTTTCGCGATCTTTCGATTTGCTGATTTTCTCTGTTGTATCATCTTTAACTGTATTACTGTAGCTGATGGATTCAAGCACAATCCCTCGGAGTGTAGATGCTTTTATTGACACCCTTTTGTTTTACTGAACAAACCAACTAAACGTTATTTGTTCAATGCTGGCATATTCGCTATTTCTTTGTCTGCTGATAAAGTGAAACAGCAGAATGCCAATCAGGTCGATAAAGTTCTATAGTATCCCTGTATATAGTCTCTTTCAAAAGTTTGATTTATTACCTTCGTTTTTTGTTTTTGGGTTGCGCTCTGACTTTAGGATTGGGTTTACTCATATGGCCTTTCAATTTCATTAAGAACAAATAAGATACATTAGATTTATACTCATTATGCATCTGTATATGTTTTTTTCTCTTCTAATTCTTTTATTAAATCATATCATAAACTTCCCCGAAGCAAAATTTCATTAGTTGGCGAAGTAGAACAAATAAAGAATGTAGCGTTTTGATGGTATTATTTGCCTTTGTAGTCTATAAAGTGAGATTCATGGCTTATTATGGTTATATATTTGATTTTAGATGAGCTTGTTCTCAGTTTTGTTGGTCATATTTACAGCAGGATTCATGGCTTATGTTAAGGTCAATGGCAACTTATCATCAGCTATTCTCAGTGCTTTAAAGATAGGATATTTGGGACTGAGTCACTAATTATTGATCTGAAGCACTCATACATGAAAAAAGCTGAATGCAGCAACCAAGAAGGTGACTCTAAATAAATTTAGGCATGCCTGCTTTTGAGTCAATGAGCTCACCCTTAGTCTGCATTATTGTTGGATATAGTCTTACACTGAGATGCCTTGATGTTGAGATTTGTTCCTTTGAGTGTGGAAATCCTTCATTTTTTGGGTGTTTGGCATAAAGGTTTTACATTTATCACAAAGAATTGTTTAATCAGGATAGCCTAGCAATTAATAAAAAAATTAAAATGTTATTTTGAATATATGTAAGAAAATAAGATGGTAAAACTGAAATTACATGGATGCAGTTGGTATTAAGTTGCTGAAATTTTGTGAAAAAGTAGGTGCCGAAGGAAATTAAGATTCCTTAGGAAACTTCATTGCATAATTATAAAAAATGGTGGTCTAAGTTTCCCAAGCTTAGTTTCATGGGAAATCAGAAGAAATCTCCATAGCAATCGTAATCTTAAGCATAGAATACAAAAACTAAGGCTGGCAAATCATGAGTAGGGTAGACCTTTCCATTCCATCCTAGATGAAGTGTAAAGAAACAGAGAGAGAGAGAGAGAGAAGGCTCCAGAAATAAGAGAGCTGTTCTCAGGCTTTGTACACAGAAAGCTATTCAAGAGTAATGAACCAATTTACATACCCTGGCTCTCTCTCTTTTGTTCCTTATAAATACTTCCCCTTGGTACCTACTCTATTCATCTTTCTTTGTCTTTTTATTTATTCATCAGTATGCACTTATTATATTCTAAAATGAAAACATATCAAAAATTATAAGTTCACTAGGGTAGTCAAAGGTGATTTCCCAATGTCAATTAAGTATGTCTTGTGATAATACTAAATTGGGGTGATAATCCGGACAAATGCCCTCAAAACTTATAATCTCAACATCTCCCATTTCACGGCACTTCATTTCGTTGAAACCTTTCATGGGAGGTCCTATCCAAACCATAAGTCTAAAGAGAGTGGTACCACCACCCAACTGACAGTATTTTGTAATCTAGGTTTGTCATTAAATGCTATTAAATGCTGACAGTATTTAATAATCCACCAAAAAAAAAGATTATTATATAATATTTCAAAAGACGAGCGTATGAGACGACTGTACCAAACAAAACTTTATTCCAGTTCACAAAGAAATGACATTGAGAAATCTGTGTCCCACCGGCCAATCAAGCCTTTGATCAAACTTTACGTTCCCAATTTTCGTTGTTAGCTGTCTCCAAGGTTTCCACTCCGCTTTCCTTCCCCCTCGTCACCGGTACTTTTCCTTCCAATTCCAAGTCTTTAATTCTTCCAATATTTCTTAACTTTCAACCCATAATCATTAATGGGATAGCTGAGTTCTGCTCCTTCAAGATGCAAACTTTGAAAGAGAAGGTCACGGACAAGCTCTCTCGCCTCTTCGCCGATTCTCCGCAGACTACCCCTCATCAGGTATTGCTTCTTCTTCTTCTTCTTCTTCTTCTTCTTCTTCTTTTTCCCCCTCTCGTTAAAATAAAATTCGAATGACATGAAAGGGTTTCATCTTGTCTCTCTGATCTGCATTGGATTCTCTTGTCTGTTTCTGTTTTAAACAATTGAAGTCTATCTTCAATCACCTCTGTCCGGTAGTTAGATCCGGGCTCTCTAAATCCTGAATCCGTGGTTGAATGTCTGGATTAAATTTCACGGATTTCATGCATAAAAGAGACAGCAACCGTGTGATTTGATTTCAATAATTAAGTGATACATATTAATGTCAATCGTAACTCGCACTAAGTGGGGACTGTGGTTGAATGGTTGATTTCTTAAGCTGAGAAAGGTTAATCCTAGTTATAGTCTACATATCCCTCTCGTTTTTTTTTTTTTTTTTGCTTGCATTTTGAATTTGCTATTTCTCGGTATCTCTTTTCCAGGCCTTCCGCCAAATTTTGGATAAGCATTTTGTTGGTTTGTGGAAAATATATGATAGAGAATAAAATAATTCTTTTAGCGATGAACGTATTTTATTTTGTTGTGATGAATAGAAAATAGAATCAGGATCACGAGTACAACTTAGTTATATGTGATCAACCCTCTTTTTTTTTTTTTTTCATTTCACCAATAGTTTTTCATTTCTTGTCGTTTTCATCTTGATTGTTTAGGTGAAAACTAGTTATCACTAGAGGAAAAACACCTTCATCTTGATTCAGGACCCTAACGAGTTTGATTAATTGGCCTCTTACTCTTCAGTTCAAATATTATGTTATTAAAAATTGACCTGATGAAAGATACTCCTCATATAATAAACTGAAGACTCATTCAAAATAGAATTCATCTACTGTCTATTGCCTTGTGGAGTTGCCTGAGTTGGCCTTAAATTCTCCTTAACTCTACCTGCACAATCCAAATTGATTGAAGCCAATTGTTGTCTTCATTGCACTGGTGTTGGGTTTTTATATTACAAGGTTTCAAGTTTCTAGATACCTTGTTTATTATCCCAACACTGTTGCTGAACTTATGGGTATCCTAGAAGGCCCTAAACTTTGCTAGAATAGCTATTTTACTAATGTCAATGTTTACTTAGATTCAATCAAAGATGGAAAGATATTTTGAAATTATAACACGAGTTCCTTAAGATTGGCCATATCACAAGCTGGTGTGATAATTAACTGCTAGTCTAATTAATAGAATCATCTCCTAATATGGATTTATTAGTTTATAAACCATAATCATTTTTATTCATCAATATCTTAGATACAATGCGGGGTTTTAACTAATATGGGAATGTATTAGTCCCGACTTAGCATATGCTAGGTTCACCATATAAAGGACTAATTTATCCTCACAATTAGTAACAGATATTGATTACTTACTGCGTTGTTATTGGGAAAAACTCCAACAAAGAATCACAAGCTTTTTGTAATATTCTCCATCTTTGTGACAAGTCCATTCATGGGCCTTGTATAGATCAATTTGCTACTAAAGGGCACTGTAGTATTGTGTTGTTGATTGCTCCTACTACAAGGGACTTCGAAGCAATCGTTTTACTTGAATGAGAACTGTTGTATTTTCTCTGATCGAATAGGTTCTTTTTGCTAATTCCCATATCTCCTTTGTTGTAGTTACTAAGAGATAGTTCTTGTCAATCTCTACAGTTATGGAGTTTACAAGCCACGCCATGACCATGTTGTTTTCGGCCTACTAAGACTCAAAATTTGCATCCATGACTGCTAGAGGATTTTCAGTGAGATACTTTTCATGATGTCTACATTAAACAAACATTAGAATGTTGCAACCAATGAAGATAGTTGTTTACAATGACATGATGAACAATCATGGCTTGAAAGAGAATGAATCATTCCCCAAACTCAACATTCCGAAGGGAGAGTTCACACCAATATTGTTTGAACCCAATCCTTTTGAGCCCTCTGTGTTTGGCATTTTGGAAGTATCACCATTTATATTGAGGACTCATGGATGGTTCATTAAAGCTGATTTGAATGCCATTGATTGCACGACCAAGGCTCTGATACCATGAAATAATTTGCTTAAAATAGCTCTGATTTCATTCACATGATATGATTACATATATAGAAGAGAGAGAGGAAAATTTAACCTTAACAAATCTCTTAAATCCTTCATATAATCTTGGAACCTTAAAAACAAATAATGAAAAAGGAGAATCAGATCTAATTCTGATGCAAATGATATAATTGTCATGCCCCAAAGATAGAGGGTGACCGGCACGGGTGCGAACTACATCGTTCATTCTCGTAAGCTTCAAAATGAAAATTTATTTTTTTAATAAAATAATCAAGTTATATGACATTTCTAACACTTTTAACACTAATTGTCATAGCAAAGCTTCAATTTTTTTTTTTCAACAAACCTTTATCATAGAAAGGATCTTAACCATAGTCTATGTGGAGCACTTATAATATTATTTATAGAAGTACAATATACAAATTAAAATTTTACATAAAAAAATTGGAGATAAAAATAGAGATGAACCAATGTAGTATCTCAACTTTAACTCAGTAATAAATTCCCTTGAATGATCTGACAGGGGTACAAGTTATCTAAGACAAAAAAAATATTTTCTAGTGAATAATGTCCCAACAGTAAATAATTAAACATAAAAAATTAAATAATTATGTAAGTTAAAGGGGCAACGATGTTTATAAAAATTTAATAAACTTTGAAATAAAATGATTCTATAAAATTTTAAATAAAATCTCAAACCATTAAAATCTCATATTAAATAATATTATCACTTAATTGCAAGGAAACAAATAAACAAAATCAATAATTATAAATAATTTACTATTTAAAACCAATGGGATGTAAAATTACTAAATAATCAAACTCATATAATAGAGACTTATTAGAACAATTAACAAGCATGGACACACAGTCCACGAGAACAAATAACCAAACGCGGCTCTTGCCATGAAGATAAACGTGGACACACAGTCCACGGAAGTAAGTAACCAAATGCAGCCAATGCCACGAAACAAATATGAGTACGATCCTCATGAATAACCATCCCTTCATTCCATATGCGTTGACTATCGCATCAGGCTACCACTTCCTATACACACCCAACTAGTTAAGTGTACCATGGCGCGCCAAGGGCTAACAGAACTGCTGTTAACCAGTGTTCTATATAAAGTCCCCTTGAAATTCATTTTTAAACATGAGAGAAAATCATCACTTTCAAAATAAAATTTTCATTTATGTGTTTTCTGAAAATCAAGTGATAAAAACATTTGTTATGATATTTCGATGGTTTAAGATTTCATTTAAAAATTTTATAGAGTCATTTTATTTTGAAGTTTATTAAATTTTTATGAAAATTGTTGTCTATTTAACTTACATGATTATTTCAAACTTTTTTTTTATTCATGTTAAATTATTTATTGTTGGGACGTTATTCACTTAAAATTTTTTTATCTCAGATAGCATAACTGCCGCTGTACATCTTGCTTACCAATGATGGTTGTTTGTGGAACAGAATGGAGGTTGGTTCTACAAATATGTTTTATTGATGTAAATATGAAATTTATGTATTATGTCATGAGATATATGATTAGATGCTCCACATAACTTATAAATTAGAGTCCTTAGTTTATTATACATTTTGTCTGTTAATTGGAAGGAGCTGAGCTCCTAATTGATACAATGTTTAAGGAAAAATATTTGTGATACAGAATTTAGGAGATCTTATTAACAAAGGAGGTTCTGCCAAAATTTTTACAAAATGTTGAAATAATTATTATAATGATTATTATAAATGGTATTAAAAAGGTCAGTGTAAAGCTGAGTACATTTTAGTCAAATGAAATAAAACTTGAATTTGTGGCTTACAGGATGTGTGATGTTGTTCACATCTTGTGCCGGTCACCCCCTATTTTTGGGGCATGACAGATCTGATACAAAATATAATTAGATCTAATCTGATTCTAACACATCCAATAAGAAATGAGTATGCATGTTTGGAAAATTGTGTTGCCAAGTGGGATTATATTGTGTATAAAAAAGTCTGTTTGGACTAAAGTTATTTAGTTGAAAGCATGGCAATTTTGAACATATTCTGTATGAAAAATTATTTGAATTGCATGAGTTTGTGTGTTGGATCAAATTAACATGTGGTGTACCCCTATTAGACCTAATAGGTGGTATGTGTGATTTAAACTAGCTTACTTTTGGTCGAGTGAGTTAGAATATTGAGCATGGTATATAGAGGTGGTAAGGCAATGTCATGCATAATTGTGTTTGAACTTGAAATATTATATGTTTGAAATTGTGTTTTTCTTGCCTACTTAGCGATCCACATGATTAATTGCATGTATATGCATCATGGCATTTTAGATTTGGTTACTGGGATATTTTTGTCTCATTTTTCATGGGTTCTATAATTATATCCTTCAACTTCAAGGCCATCACAACAATTGTAAAAATCAATTTGTGGTTCTATTAATGACAGGTGGTATTCGTTCAAGTATGTTGAAGGCAATGACGTGGGATGTATCTTCATTAGAAATTTTGTGGTCTGAAAGAAATAGGCACGAGGTTGTGAGAAAGTAGTTGTGGGGCAACAAAGACAAGCTAGTTTGAATGCACTAGTCATTGACCTCTGGCCATCTCTAATCCAGGTGAGATAAAGCCTAAACCCTAACCCTTAAATGCCCAAAACCCCAAACCCCCAAAATCCTAAACCCCCAAAGCTCCAAATCCCAAACCCTAAACCTTAAATATTAAACGATCCTCACAATGTTTGAAAGGTGTCAGTAACAAAATTATCATACCGAGTTGGAAATTATATTTCACCAAAATACTGGATTACAATACATTATCCTTATAATATTTCTTTTAGACCATTAAATTTTGTTTATGGATTATCATACTAGAATGTATTAATACTAAATATTTTTACTTGAATTTGCTGATGGCCAAGGCTTCTGATTTTCTTCAATTTACTATGATTACAATTTTTTGTTTCATTCTATTGCTAATTCTTGACCTTTAATGTGGTTATTGCATTGATGCAATGCAACGGACATTCTTTTTAATTTTTGGGTTCCATCATTTGGTGCCTCCTGGGTATCTTGAGAATACTTTTGACATTTTTTTAACACGACTATATATTTTAGGACTCAAACTCAAAATCTCAAAATAAACTAGTTCAACCCTCTTGACTAGTTGAACCAAATCCTCCTCTGTAATGTAATGGACACTCTTGTTGACTGCTAATTTTAAGAAGCATGGAACTAAGAATTTAATCATGGTAATTTAAAAAGAAAAGTATCATACATTATCCAAAACAGAAATGAAAAAAAATGAAATAAATATTAATAAATTAGTTGATTTAGATGCATTTTGAATAATCCAATCAAAAGAAACTTGGCCAATCTTAAGGGAGTAGTTTAACACTAGCAATCATTATGAATTGGGTACAAAATTAAGTATGTCCATGTGGATATTGACATGTTTGATGAAAAGAAAGAAAGCTAATCAATAACATTGATATTGAAAGCAGGAAAGTAAAGTAATGGAAATTGTTTTTTGGATTAAAGTTCATGCTTTACAATTATTTGATATTAAAGTAGCTTAGAAGTTAGTTACTAGATGATCTCTTTCTTGAATGATCTCTTGGTTTATGTGAATGCTACATTTTCGAAGAACACTATATGGAGTGTTCAGTTCTCTAAAACTCAAAACTAAATTTGTAATTTAAAGTTAGCCTAAGCATTATCATTCATCCTTATGACTTCCTCTATAAAGTTTTAGCCATGCCTTTCTATTTCCTTGATGTAAAATTTTCTCTTAGGCTTTGCACCAATTACTTAAGATGTATAATTCTAATTATTCAATAAAAATATCCAACAATTTACTACTAACCATCGAAGCCCCACAAACAAATGAAAGTTCAAAATACTAAAAGTCAAGTTCAATTCCTTTCTATAAGCATTTCAACAAGCACATCATAGGTGTCAATGTTTAAGTTTTATATTTAAACTATTCTCGCCCAATCTTTCCTTAATAATTTTTTTAACATAAATCAATCAAAATAAGATTTATTTAGCTGCAAAATTATGTCCCATATATATATATATATATATATTATTAATGTTTAAAATGAAACTCAAATTTGAGTCTTCTCCCTCCAATAACAGCACGGCAACAACAGCAACAGAGGGCATGCATAATTTTTTTTTTTTTCAACTCCAATTATCCACATACAATCACGGACAGCAACAGGGGAGCCAGATTTTGCCACTTTAATCACCAGTTCACATATACACAGAGCAAGAGAAGCGAAACGTCAAGCTTCCTCACCTTAACTGGACAGAAAGCAAGGATGAAGAAGTTGAAACAAACGGCTGAACAGGGAAGAGGGAAGCTGAATGCTACTCGCAAGAAAGCACAGCAACCAAATCAGCAACAACAACCCAAGCTCACAGCAGCAGTACCGTAGCTCCGGCAACTTGGTCTCTCATCCCGGCAACCTCTCAGACATAAACGACAAGGGAGAACAGCAGCAGACGAAGAAAGAAGAAAAACAGAGTTGGAAGACATGAAGCACCTGGATGTCGCTAAGCAGTGGCGAGCCTCCTCTGATCCCGGTGACAACAAGGAATGAAGAAGGATGGAGAGCAAAACTAAAGGCTCTAGATCTCTCTCTCTTTCTCTCTACGCGTAGACCGACCGAATAAGGA